CCAACTGACAAGTGGTGGACCACCTGAAGGGAACATCCTTGGCTAGCAGATTTGTCAGGGGAGTAGCAATAGAGGAAAAGTTCCTGATGAACTTCCTGTAGTAAGAGGCTAACCCCATGAAAGATCTGATGTCCYTCACAGTCTGTGGCTGTGGCCATTCCCTGACTGCAGCCACTTTAGAGGCTTCAGGGGATAGACCATCTGCAGAGATCACATGACCTAGGTACAAAATAGAGGAAACACCAAATGATGACTTCTCTTTGTTTAGTTTGTACTTATGTTCCCTCAGGACTTGCAGAACTTTCCTGAGGTGGTCTGCATGCTCCTTGGCATCTTTGCTATATACCAGAATGTCATCCAGGTACACCACAGCAAAGCGGTCAAGGAAAGGTCTGAAAATGCGATTCATTTCAGTCTGGAATATTCCTGGTGCATTGCACAGACCAAAAGGCATGACCAGGAACTCATAGGTGCCATACCGGGTTTTAAAGGTTGTCTTGTAGACATCYTCTTCAGCCATTTCGATCTGATGATACCCGGATTTCAGATCAATTTTGCTGAAGACTTTGCAGCCTTGCACCATGTCCAACAAGTCGTCGATCCTAGGCAAGGGCTCAGAGCTCTTCCTAGTGATCTTGTTCAGGCCCCTGTAGTCAATGCACATCCTGTGTTCGCCATTTCCCTTTGGAACAAAGAGAACTGGTGCCCCGTACTCAGATGAACTGGGCCTGATCCATCCCTTCTCCGTCAAGGATTCCAACTGTTTCCTCAACTCATCCAGTTCAGCAGGTGACATCCTATAGACTCTTCCCTTGGGAGGGGTAGAGTCAGGGAGAATCTGAATGTGGTGCTTGGTCTGCCTATGGACAAGTCCAGTAGGCTCCTGGGCCAAATCAGAAAATTCATCAACCAGCTGTTGAATGGAAAAATCAGTCTGAGAAGGGGAGGAATCTGAATTTGTTTGAGTGACATAAGCCACAAACAGATTCTGATGGTCAGTTTCCTTAGACAAGTTGTAAAAATCTCTCGCTTTCAGGCAGTAACAACTTGTCTTAGGATGATGGTCCGTAGCTAGGACACACTGTCTTAGCTCACCCTGGGAATTCTTCAATTGAATACTGGGCAGAGCCCAGTCAATTGAAGGGTTAGTAGCCTTTAGCCACTTCAGACTCAAGACCAGATCAAAGGGGAGATGGGGAAAAACATAGAAATTCAGGGAATGTCTGATTTCACCCTTGTCGTCAAAGGTGACTGGCACTCCTTTGATGACTTGCTTGATTGAGACAGATTGGGAATTCCCTATCTGTATCTCCAAAGGATGCTCAAGGTCAGTAACCTTGAGACCCAAATGAAGTTTTTGAACTCCATTCTGAGAAATGAAGTTCCTTGTAGCCCCACAGTCCAGCAAGGCTTTGATCCTGGTTCTGTTAATTTGAGGCCTGAGCATGATCATTTCTGATCTCTTCTTCCTCTTCTCCTTTAACTGGAGATGAAGGGAACAAAGTTGATCAAGCTCCTCCTCAGACGAGGGCTCATCCAGAAGGGGCTCAATATAAGAGTAGATTGAGTCCCCTGCAGCAAAAATCAGGCGCAGTAGCTGATTCATCTCCTGAAGGAGATGGATTCAGTTCAGCAGGGCTGGCTGCAGCCTCTGCTGGCCTGCTCAGTTTTTTGAATGGCTGCAGTTGCTGTGGTTCAGCTTAGGGCAATCCTTGACATAGTGATTGCCCTCACACCTCAAACAGACCCCTTTTTCCTTCCTCTTTTGCCATACGCCCTCTGGGATTCTTAGATCCCTCCAAGGAGCAGAGGAAATGTCCAAGGGACTGGCGGGGCACTTGGCAAACTTCGGGAGGTTATGCTGTTGCAGACCACGGGGGCGTTTGCCTGACCCCTTAGGACTAGAGGACTTTTGTCCCTGGAACTGCTTGCCTCCTGTGAGGGTTAGCAGTGTCTGGGCCAGCACCTGAGCAGCCTGGTCTGCTGATGTCCCTGCACCCTGGCCAGCTGGGGGAGTAGATCCTCCCTGGCTAGTGCCTGCGGAGTCATCATCAGACTCCATGGCATACAAATTCCCCTTTCCCTTCCTCCTACTCTGGGAAGAGGGGTTGCCTCCCTTCTAGGGAGTGGACTGGACATGGAGGGTGGCCTCCATGTCCAAGGCTGCTCTGCCAAAAGATCGCCAGTCTTTGTGTCCGGCAAAATACAGGGCCGTGGTATATTTCTCAAGAGATGCCCTGATGAACCAAGTCAGTTGGTCCGTGTCAGACATCTCCAAACCGGGAGTAGAGGTAAGACGCTCGAATTCTGCATAGAGCTTGGCCAGGGAAGCCCTGTACTTTGTCTGGCCAAGACTAACCAGCTCGTCTGCAGCCTTGCGGGCCTTTTCCTTATCTGCAAACCTCGCCTCCAGGCCGTGGAAGATGGTCTCTAAACCCACTGCAACAGCCCAATCCGATAACTGCTGCTGAGACTTGGTGGCCTCAGAGGTCGCCCACTTCAATGTTGACCCCGCTAATAGGGCCACAGTGGACTGCACCTTGTTGACCTCTGGGCAGGTGAATCCCCTCAGATAGGACTTCATGGAAGCGATCCAATC